TTTACCGCGGTTTGTATTAAATTGTTTTCTAAAATAGCTTACGGTGCCAGCATCCGAGAGGTGGTGGATTAAATCCGCAAAGTATTTTTACTCAACCGTGTTTATTATTCAAAGAAATAAAATAAATCATTACATTGTCTATGCTAAGTTCAGTCATCGCAAGCAAAGTGTATTATTAGGTACTCGAACAGTGTGATAGTATATTAATACATTATTTTCTACGTGAGAACGTGGCACCTGATGTTAAGCGATAACCGGCATCCACGGACATTTGCAACACCCGTAGGGTTGCAGACGCGTTGCCACCTTTAATATTGTTGGAACCTAGCCGGTTCCCACTTTATTAAAAGGTTGCCTCACTCGCCAGATGAAACGCAGAAGTTTCACTTAAAGAAAAAGGCACTTCCTATTTCACGCCGGTCTCCTGTGAGATCATGGTATTTACCCGGACGGACCTGCCCGGTCTGCAATTACAGAAGCTATTGCTTATTGCTATTTGCGTGGCCCTACCACAGTAATAATTATAGTATAATAGTATAATTAGGTATAAAATAGTAGGGGTATCCGTGTTTTTATCTAAGCATAACGCTTCGAGGTTTATTAACCTCGTCAACATAAATGCACAGACATCAATTGCCTTTGCAAGAAGTTGACTTCATGCAAATACTATCCCAATGTGGGTTTCAATTGACATGGGAGCGTATTCACTAAGACGCCAATTGCAAACCTACTCCAGTCTTAAACCAAGCTGTTTTAAGCCCCGCAATTGAAATACCCCGTTCGACGCTGTCCACTTTATATAACAACGTTTAGTTAAGTATTATTATCCAGAGTTCGTGTATGCATATTATGTTAAGTATAGTGAGAAGCGAACGAAGTTGCAAGCTTAGATGAAAACCGTAAGCTCAACCTCACCTTCTGGGGTCGAAAATTTGCTCACATTAACAAGTATTTGTGTGTTCCACAAATAACTGTCACAGATCAGGGTGTTTGTACTCAAGGATTGTTGATGTCAGCCAAGCGGCCGATCATAAAAAACCTAGTCAAAACCATAACAATATGATTAACATGTTGTTGCGACCCCACCTGAGGGCATGAGGATGATGAAGATGTACGGCGATAGAAGTCACAATTTGTCACGTTTACAACTAACATTTACCGTCTGAGGCCCCAGCACAGAAGAGCGTGCATATTGCAATACGAAAATACATGTGGTAATTTTTAATTTTCTTAATAGCTTAATTAGCCCACTACTTGTCACACCCTGGGGAAGTCAGTAGAGAAAATCGACTAATGACGCTTCTAAGCTTCTCTGTCTCTCTCTTCCGAATACATAGACACTCGATTACAGGTAACAGTAGCCTAATAGCGGGGCCGGTGTATAAATAGACGCGAAAATTGCCCGCCGCGGACGTCGCGTACCGTAACGAATGCGCGGACGCGTCCGGCGCGACAAATTTCAATGTAATCCGTATAATATTACAATTTGCCGGATGAATTATTCAATATGGCCGCCCTCGGCCCGATCTTTATTCGATTATCGGGGATTTACATATGAACATAATGCGCCCGGCAACCTGTTGTACTATCCATAATATTTGATACGAGCGATGCCTCTTGCCCTATACTGCGTTCGGAGGCGATTCCTCGATGCAATTCAATTGCGTTTCCAGTTACGTTCCGGTCTCAACACGAAGTCTTGTTGGTTTTAATTCATTATGCAGAATATAAGTAAGGATACACAGGACCCCTTATTGTTTGATTCCTTATTGGATCGAACGGATTCTTTTTGCTTGCAATTATTCATGTGATCTCCTTTAGTATTTCGATAATGATTACTACTAAATGAAAAGAGTGTATAATCGACTGAAATGTAATCTATGATGGTGTCTCTGACAAATCACTGTAACATGGAGCTACTGCCAGGTCATCATCTCTTTGTCATGATAGCTTTAAGAGATATAATCTTACGAATTCACTTTTATGAACCGTTTCAGCTATTCTACTTATGTATAGTTAATGCTTTGTGGAGTTAGTTTATTATTTTCTTAAACTATACTGCATTGAAACTGTCGCGTAAGATTTGTAGAAGGACTTTTGGTTGATCGAGTGAATTTGCTATAAACTGTACTAAAAGGAGTAGCCCCAACGTCGCAATTCACGGTTTCAGGCAATGAAACGAGTTTGGAAAGTTTCCTTTTAAATGAGGTCAAAATATTTTGCGTTCAGTTCCCAATGTAGAGAGCGAAATTCTTTTTTGAATCAAATAAATACTTATACATTCAGGAAGATCTACTTTCTTCCTTCTTTGTATCTCTTTTAATGATCTGTCACGAATCTGTGATAGACAATGTACTAAAATGTAAGCTACAAATATAATAGTTCAACAACAGCTTGATAGCACAGCTCCTGCTGTCGTCTGCATGTATAGACTAGTTCTATATTGAAATTACCACAGTCGCATAGAAGGCGCGTGAAGTACAAGTATTTATAAGTTCGCATTTCACATAGAGAATGAGGTAACCAGAAGCTCTCAGATTCAGTGGTTGTAGCAAGCCCATAGAGATTTTCCCTGGGAATGTGAGACACTCGCAATGTGCGGCTGATTAGCACTGAATAAAATCTTTGAAAGATACGAATTCAATATAAGACTAGTTTTTTTTTAAATAAATAATAAGGCTTTTGATCAATGAAGTATAAGTATAAAAGTTTAACTCAAGTCTTGCAAAATATTACGGAATCCTTAACTCCGCTGGAAAACGACTCAAATCATGGACGATGACTCTCAATAACGTCAGCGTTCTAGGCTAAAGTCTAGATCCAGGAAGTCTATCTACTTAGTGCTCAGTTATTGTATTACAAATACTTGAATAAATTTAGCCGTCTAGACATTGAAATTGAAAAACCGTTTCATTGATATAGGCGTTCTCATACCTACAAATTGCCACAACGAATAAAAATAAATCAACCACATTATTTTTTATTCCTTATAACCATTTTTTTATGTGAAAAGTTGGCAAACGAGCAGACTGTTCACCTGATGTTAAATGAATACCGCCGCCCATGGACATCTGCTACACCCGAGGGTTCCAGATGCGTTAAAAACCTTTTGCAAATTGGGATCCAGCCACCTCACTCACCAGACGAAACGCGAAAGTATTATACTTCCACTTTACCCGGACCAGCCTGCCCATTCGTGCAACAGCCGAGGCTGCTGCGTGGCCCCACCACCGTACCTAATGTGCTGTCTCCAATTAATTTACACACAAGTAAATCATGGCGTCAGTTTTCAAACAAGTTAGCTATTCATCTTATACTGAGTGATAACTGCCGACTATGGAATACCCATTTTTAAGAGGTGGGCCTAATTTCCTTTACTCATCGAACGGAATAAAAAACGGGTTAATACTCCTTCAAACGTTCAATTTAGAGCGTGCTACTTCAATTAGCTGGCCAATCGAACAAGAACAGAAGATGCTGCGTGGCTCGTCATAGAAGTAAGAAGATGTCTGATACTTACACAACTTTTTCGCATACAAACGTCTAGTTCAGATACGGGTGTCGATTAAGGGTTTATGTAACTCGAGTTATCAGTTTATATTGAACTTTTGCAGACACTAAATTTTGTATCTTGATTTTAATGGATCAATATGACCTCTAGAAAGGTTATAATACACTTATTTAAATTAAGATATACTGAGTCGTAAACAGATCTGCATGAGCCAATTAAAGTGCTTATCGATGCGAAATGTTATTCGTCGTACAATTTCACCGTAATGGGAGTTTAAAATTACTGTATTTGTCACTTCTTCTACAAATTCAATATTCAACCTGATGCGATGAATATAAGATATTGATTGCAAGAGTGTATATTAAACACACTGATTTGAAAAGGGCCAAGAAATGGTTTGCACGATTTAAATATACGTTTCTTTTTTCGTGAATTTATTCACACATACGTCGAAGCGTTACAACTCTTTCAATTTTTTTCTTTTAATGAAATATTGTGCACTGATCCTGCCAGGTGACACATAGACGGACAGACAGACAGACAGCGAAGTCTTAGTAATAGGGTCCCGTTTTTCCCTTTGGGCACGAAACCTTAAAAACCAGCGGCCATGAAAGATTCTTTATGTGACAAGGTGGCAAGAAACAAGCCTTACTTTAAGAGACTTCCGCCGCCATTGGGCATTTATATTTTCCGTAGGTATGCAGACATTGCCCCGATTACCTTGCTCACTCGACCAGGTCGTGGTGCTTTAGGGGAAGAGTCTACCCTACTATTGTGAAATAAAAGAAAGCAAGTCCATTTCTCCATACATTGTATACCTACTGTATTATTAATGTTGAATACATTGATAATACTGGAACAATAACATCGTCCTCGATTTCACTATAAGAATTATTAATATATAAAGCAAATATTCGATAAGATTATTTTTATTCTAAACCAATAATAGTATACTCGTAATCTAATATATAAAATTCTCGTGTCACGATGTTTGTAATTGAACTCCTCCGAAACGGCTCGACCGATTTTCGTGAAATTTTGTATGAATATCGGCCAGGGTGGAGAATCGGACAACATCTATTTTTCATCCCCCTCAATGTTAAGGGTGGTCCACCCCAAACATTTTTTAATTTATATGACAAAACAACGTTTGTCGGGTCAGCTAGTAATTTATAAAATCTACGCCTTTATAGGCGATGATTTTATAAATAAACATAAAAATTACCGAGACAGATGTCGACCGTACAAGTTGGTCAAGTTTGGGTTTTGAGTTTATTGAGAAATGAAAACACTATTGATCTCTATCCACCCCCGTTGAATACAAATACTTGCATTCAAGCTTTTCACTGGATAATAGAGTTCATTTTTAATAATAATAATAAGTAATGGGGATGAAACGAAGAAATCATAGAAGTAACAAAACACCGACGAGGCGGGAGAGTTTAATATTTAATAATTTACCCGGTCCGCGCGTCCGTCGGTGCGTCTAATGCGTTCCGACGTGCGCGCCGTAGTGCCAGAGTGGGGCGTGGCCGAAGTCGGAGCGGGGAGCGAACGGAGCGGAGCGGTGAGCGGTCAGCGAGCGGAGCGGAGCGGTGAGCGATTCTCAATGAAGTAATAGGACTTAAAATACATCCTTAACTAAGGTGACCGTGAATATGTCAGCGAATGTACAAAAATTTTTACATTGTTTTGAAAGACTGATACGATACTGGTTGTAAATAATGCTAACATGACCCTGGTTTGAAATTTTAGAGAAAATTGATTTAAGATTTTTTTGTCAACATATCGCAGAGAAGACATTGATGGAGACGTAAGTATCATGATCACATACAAATTTTTATAAATTAACAAATTTATTGGTAATGCAAGTAGATTATTACAAATATCAAGAGTTTTACAATGACTGCGGGGTAATACATAGTGTATAAGGAATTTATGACATATATCAAAGGCAGGCAAAAGTAGAGTAAAATATTGCAAATCTCTTAATAGTAAGCGTTGTGTTGGTATAGTTGGCGAGTGTTGGTTGGACATCACTAGAGATTCCGCTGACAGACGTGCCGCGCGGTATGTGTATCCAGGTGTAAACATTGAGTTTTTAGTAGAAACGTGGTGGCCTTTATAAAACCGTCAGGGTGCATTGTCTGTGAAGGATAATATTTGATCTGGGCCACAAAAACTCGTATTATGTTGCCGTAATTGACGTAACAGCGGCCGATACGCGCTCGTTATTATAATTTACACGAGTGAACGGCTTTGAGGTTGTAACGGAGCTGTTTTGTAGCACAGTTGAGTTTGCGATGATACGAACGATATGGATTCCGCTAGCGAACTGCGTTACTTTCTAAATTGGTTATCAGCGTACGATTGTTACTATCCAATTACGATGGTAAGTATACTAATAATAAATATGAAATCTTATATTAGGCTTTATATCTCTACTAATTTTTAGAGCGAGTTTAGAGGTAATTGTTACGTAAAGAATAAACATAATTAGGCGAATCTTTACAAAACTTTATGCTAAAAATTCCGTTAGTTTAGCGTCGTCCAATTACACATAAGTTAATCATTTCTTTTGGAAATTGTAATAATAGAGTAATTGGATTTAGTTCTAATTGAAAAATCTTTACTATCTGATGATAGATGAAGTGTATGTTTCTTGTCTCGATGATATAAATGATTTTGATTTTACCTCGCACAGTGCCTTATTAAATTGGTGATTATATAGGTTGATGAGAAAAAGTTATATTGGTTGATGAAAAAGAAAACATTATGTATATTAAATATACTTTATTTACATTTCTGTTCCAACAAAAACATCACTTACGAAGTGTTTCAAGCTATTTATGGTACCACTGAATATTTTAAAACATTCTAAAATAAAACAGTAGGAGCCGAATGCACGAATTTTAACACGCAAATAAACACGCTTCAAGCATATTCATACATATTATAATTATATACTTACTGAATACTATACAGACTAAGACTTGTTTGTTCCTTTGTGTGTAAATGATAATCACAAAAACCATTGAACCCGAAAATGGTTTCTATAGGAATGAAGAGATAGAATTATTTTAAATAACAAATTTTAATATTTGTTGTGCTAAACGGAAAGTTGACATATTTGAAAGTTGTCATGTAAACGTAAAATGTAAGTATCGTCTTGGCAGTCATCATATAATATGACATCTTTATTTAGATATAATTCTTCTGTACGTATGTCACTGAACTCCTCCTAAATGTCTGGACCGATTTTAATGAAATTTTTTGTGTGTCTTTAGGTGGATTCAAGAATGGTTTAGATTCACAATACGGTCCACTACAATTTTTTTTTATTACACGTTGTCGAATTTAAGTCGTGTGTACAGGACAACGTCTGTCGAGTCCGCTAGTATATCCAATTTGCGATACGGAAAAATCAACGCGTTTTAGACTCGTGCGAAGCCGGGGCGGAGAAGCCGGTCTCGAACAGACTTGTGAGGCGTTTCGGGCTGGGAGTATCGGAAGGCGTTTCGCCGCTTCCCGCGATAACGCGCGTCCGTCTAAAGAGCATTTCGGTGTAGCGACGGCGGCGAATAAGGAGAGACGAAAAAAAAAACCACCGTAACGACGTCATTTCTCAATATCGGCACGGTTGAAAAAAAAGGATGTTAGGCGAATATGAGCAAAGGGGACCTTAAAAAGAGCCCACTATCAGCGCTTGACGTGTCTTATCGCCGAGTATACTTATCGAAACGATTCGGTATTAAATCGACTCATTCGCTGATGTACCAATGCAGTGCGCTTAGATAGAAACTTTTAGATCGTTGGTCACGTATGATTTATAAAATAATGATTGTAATATGTATAAATATACGAAATATAGAGAATAGATGTTTTCTAAGTTTATTCGCTTTTTGAGTCTCGAGTATTTTTTTAAGGTAAAAGTTTTCAGGCGAGCAGTCGGTTCACCTGATGTTAAATGAACACCGCCACCCATGGACTAAAGCACTCTCAACTCACAAACCCACTCATGACGCTGGCTTGCTGATGCGTTGCGACAACCTTTGAAAAGTTGGCGTCGGCCACCTCACCCAACAGACGAAACGCGAAATTTTAATTCTTCCACTTCACGCCGGTCTTCTGTGAGGTCATGGTATTTCATACTTTCCGGATCAAGCCTGCCTATTCGTGCAACAGGAGCTGTTGCGTGGTCCTACCACAGTATATTGTTTATACGTTTAGTAAAATAATTCGAAATTCTGCTTTATTACTTTAATTTAATTTAAAGCGAAAAGCTAGTTATAATTAATTTATAACTAGCTTTTCGCCGGCGGCTTCGCTCGCGTTGAAGCCCTTAAATAAATATCTTTCAACCCTTTACAACACTTCTTTAGCCTATGTCCTTTCTCAGGCTCTGGATTATTTGTGTACAAAATTTCATTTAAATCGGTTCAGTAGTTTTGGAGTGAAAGCGAGACAGACAGACAGAGTGACTTTCGCATTTATAATATTATTATCGAATTGTTAGACATAACAGTTTTATGTCGAAATAAACAAAAAAACATCATTTACCCCGGAATATCAAGCGAAACACAGTCGCGAGCGAAAGTGTTCGTCGCTCAAAAGGCGTAAACGAATCCAATTACTGGATTATGACCGTGTATGATATTAGTTTTTTAAATCGCCGTCATTGTTTTAGGAGGTTCACGGGTGACTGGTGCGAAAGAGACGGCTTATCATCACGACGCGCGCGCGCAAAGGGGACGGCGGTCGTATGACGGACGGTCGAGGCGCGCGCGAACGACGTCGACTGTAACTCTTCCCGAGCCGCGCACTCTCTCATCCCCGCACCGAAATAAACTCCCTCTCGCGTTTTATGCTCCCCCGGTACATTTGGACGGCACCGTCAATGTCCCCACGCCATCGGTGTAGGCGCATAAAAGTGCCTAAGCAGATGATTTATATCGACTGCGCGCATTTTCGGTGGCTTCCGGCGCTATCATTTAGGCGCGTTAAAAAGCGCATCGGCTGTTGTGGTGACGCTCTCTACGAATTATTCATTCGACGTGGCCGCCCTTTGTCGGCGTTTGTGGTCGGCTGCCACGTGACGCGGTGACGACGCCTGACGCGAGTTAGAAGGGCCAGGAAACGAAGTCTCCCAGGACTTAAAAATGTAACGGGATAAAACGCCCACAACTCATTAGTTTTTACATTCACTTTGTACAATAATTCATGGCAGTTATGTTATCGTCCGTCTGTCGAATGCCTGTGTTTTTCTCACTTGTAATGCTTCTTTGTCGATTTAGCTTATACAATAGGATTAATGTATACGTAAAAAAGAAAACAGTAATTTGTTAACATGGTTTCCCTCAACGAATAGGTTGGTATAGATACGTTAAAGATTTAAAAAAAATGTTGTTACGGTAAAGGAGGAAAGAAAGATGGTGGTTTTTAGTAAAACTAAATCCTTACTAATATTCTAAATGCGAAAGTTTGTATGTATGGATGGGTATATGTTACTCTTTCACGCAAATACTACTGAATGGATTTTAACGTAATTTGACAATAATGTAGCTTATACATCAGAATAGGATATATGCTATAATTTATATACAAATTTTATGTATATCTGACTTTCTGTCTGAATGTTACGCCTTCAGCCTATTCTACGCAGACGTAGTCGCGGGCAGCAGCTAGTAAATAATAAATTTTACCACATAATTTTAGAGTTTGAAAAGCCGACCTATTACAAGTCGGAGACATCTGTGAAAATTTCAACTGTCTATCAATCACGGTTCATCAGATAAAGCCTGGTGACAGACGGACAGATAGACACACAGACTGCGGAGTCTTGGTAATGCATCCCGTATTAGACTTTGGGTAAAGAACCCTAATAAAAAACGACATGTTTTACAAAATATGTTGTATTTTATCATTATGTAATTAATAGATCGAAATATAATTTACGCCAGTATCGCTAACCGAAGTACCACAGATAGTGAAAATATAAGTGCTGAAAAGATGATAGTGAAGTAAAGAATTAATAATTCAGGTGTTTTCGAAAGTCATATCAAACAATGCCTTCGTGGTTAATCCAATTAATGAAATTAATAACAAAATCTGAATTGAAACCATTACACACTACCGAGTAACACACAGCTTATTTGTGTTAGTGGCATGCAAAAATCATTAGCCACATTTACGCCTTAATTAGAAGACCGACTCTCGTTGATTATTTTAAAGCACATTGCTGTGGTGTGACCGCGCTGAATGCAGAAGAAACGGGATTAAACGTCACAGTTTCACAGTTAACAAAGTTTTTTTTTTTGAGAAAATGGCAAGCGTTTCATCTGATGTTAAGTGATAGCCGCCGCCCATGATTCCCCGTACGGACCTGACCATTCGTGCAACAGCCAAGACAGTTGCGTGGCCGTTGGATAGAATTAATACATACATGCCTTCGTGGTTAATCCAATTAATGAAATTAATAACAAAATCTGAATTGAAACCATTACACATTACCGAGTAACAAACAGCTTCTTTGTGTTAATGGCATGCAAAAATCATTAGCCACATTTACGCCTTAATTAGAAGAGCGACTCTCGTTGATTATTTTAAAGCACATTGCTGTGGTGTGACCGCGCCGAATGGCAAGCGTTTCATCTGATGTTAAGTGATAACCGCGGCCCATGATTCCCCGTACGGTCCTGTCCGTTCGTGCAAAAGCCAAGACAGTTGCGTGGCCGTTGGATAGAATTAATACATACAAAAAAGCTTTGCATACATGTCATCCCATACAAACGAGCCCTAAAACACCCAAACCCACGAATTATTGTAAAGTGATAATTTTTTTTTTGAGTTAATTAAAACAATCTTAACTCCTCAGCCAGCCCTTTCAAAAACCACTTATGATATGATTTGACTTGTAATATTATCATCACTTAGAGAAATTGGTAAGTTTTTTAAAGCATACCCATAGAAATCTCCGTGCACGCCAATGCAGTTAACACTTTGTTTTTGCTGCAATCGATTATTGTGGTTACTGTTTATTAGTGTATTATAAATAGCGTAAAATAGTTGCGGAGTCAGTTAGATTCACCAACACGCCATGCAGAAACTCTCAGACGTAGGAACGTTAAGGACATGTCCCGCGTGTACAAAGAGTACAGTCACGCTAGCGATGATACCGTTCGCGTGAGGCATGGCAGGAACGAGCCTCGGTGATTCAATTGCGAATTCCAAAAGAAATAGGTATAATTCTCTTGTTAACGTTAATTCGACACAATTAACCATATATTCATCATGTCCGACGTTACGTCCGCTTAATTTATATATATGGAGCTAGCGATTATTTCTAATACAATTACAACTTGCCGCGGAATATTGAATTGTGGACGATAAATCATACACAATTAACGGCTAATTGAAAAACGAATGTATTAAACAACAATATCCATGTCGATGATTAATAATGAAATATATATTTTTTAAGGGAATATCTTCAGCACTTTCTTTTTGTGAATAGTTTACTTTCTTTAGTTTGAAAAGATTTTTGAAATGAGATTAAATCGATATGAGGTAAAAACTTTGAACATTAAAGAAGATCGTGTAGGTACGTACTGTGAATAGTATTTTGTCAGCTTTATCCGCGATGTCGATCGTAGAGTCTAGATAGAATAAAAATATTGTCGTAATATATTTATAGAATAAAATGTTTGTTGTAATTTCAATACAACTTATTTGACCGTGGTAGGCAAAACAGTTCGCTGTTGCACGAATGGGCAGGTCCGTCCGGGAAGTACCACGGGTTCACAGAAGACCGTTGTTTGTGGACATATTATACTTTCGAGGTTCGTCTGTTGAGTGAGGTAACCGGGGCCCACTTTTTAAGGGTGTCAACGTATCACCAAGCATTCGGATATTACAGATGTGCAAGTGCGGCGGTGATCACTTAACGTCATGTAAACACTCTGCTCGCTTGAGAAGTCTTCACATAAAATTGAAATAAATTAATGACCAAAATTGAAGTAAAATAATGACTAAAATTAAAATAGAATAATGACCAAAATGGTCCATAATATCGGTCACAGCTGCTATGGTTCTCTCTCTATCAATGTACCAGGGCGTTATGAAATCGCGAAGACAAAACTCCACTGCCCTCAAAAGCCATTTCATGAACTTATTACGGCTCTTATGAATAATTTAGTGTATTTAAGTTACGATGCTACCGTTTCATCGTGCTTCCGTCCGTTGCACGAAATTTATCTGGAAGTGATAAAGTTTAGTCGAATATTTCATTCAATACTTTTAAGCAGTTGTGACGGGTGTATGCCGTACGGCGTATGTTCTTACCACCTGTCAGATTTAGGAGATAAGTAAGTTCCACGAAGTGGCACCAAATCTGTAAGATTAAAGATGAAAGACCTCGTAATTTTAGGTGCGCGTCGTAGCGTTTTAGGGGCGTGGTATAAATTCATAAACGGCCACTCAGATTTTCGTACTAGAATCTAAGAAATGACCCACTGAACAGATGACAATGAAACCAACTGAACAACTACAGAATGTCTCTTCGATGTAGAAGCCTCTTATACAGCTTCATGTGTAAATATTTTTGAGTTAAGGTACAGCGCGCTTGAAACCTTGACATATAAAAAAAAACTATTTGGAATATTGGCTTTAGTTGAACGAAAAAACAGATGTTGCCGTGAAACTATCAATTGCTAAATGATGCAATTTCTAAACATGTATTAGTGAAGTATATATTTAATAACCATAGTTCTTGTATTATCTCATGGAATATGTTGCTAAAGTAATTTCTTTTTTTTAAGTAAAAAGTGGCAAATGATCTGGTGGTTCACCTGATGTTAAGCGATAACCGCCGCTCATGGACATTTTCAACACTCGTAGAGTTTCAAATACGTTGCCACCTTTAAATAAATTGGGACCATTTCTACTTTTATTATGCCGGTCTTCTGTGAGGTCGTGGTCCCGGACGGACCTGTCCATTCGTGCAAAATTGAACACTGTTGCGTGGCTCTACCACACATTAAAAGTTTATCTAATGGCACGACCCCGCGATAGGGCAAGCCACGTCTCGAATGTCGTTTGAACTACGGTTCCCACAGCTGAAAAAGTTCCAGCGGTGGGTAAAGCCAGGCCTCTAAGAAGGTGGGTCGCGGGTTCGATGGTGCGTTGTGCATTGTGTTGAGGTACGTCGGACCCCGGGAGCACGGCGGGCGGTAGGCGCCACGGGCTCGGGTTCGAATTCCGCCGCGTACGCGCCACCATCGGATACGAGCCCGTCGTAAATCAACCGCGTATATTTCAATCGTTGCCCAAATCGTTGTCATTACGTTGAACAACGTTAAATAACGAACAACGGGACGCCCTGTGGGGTATACATTAATAGCTATTCGATCTAAACTGTTTTAATATTTGACTGTATCGGGATAAAGTCTTGGTAAGTTTGACTAAGTTAAACTTAACCAACTACAGCTTGTAATGTTGCAAAAATCCACTTAGTTGTACGATGTACGCCCCATTCAGTACAGAGCCCGTTAATAGCCAAATGTTGATGACTTCGTTCGCGTTTTAAATCGCCAAAGATAAAGTTAGCAAAGCGATTAGTTACGCGAGAAAGTCCAACGATGCTTTACAGTTTCTTGGACTGAAACTATAATCTTTCTATTGCGAGAATGAATGAAAAGAATTAATGAATAGGAGATTGAATAAATAGAATGTAGTCATTATGCAACGGGAGCGTCGTAAAGAATAGAGAAATATTAATAAATAAGGAGATGACAACGCCAGAGATTAGCGTCATTAGGAGATGTAACATAAATACGGACAGTTTGTAGGTTGGCACAGCGAGTTCCCAAACGTTTATTTCGAATAGAGTATTGACACAACAGAGTCGTCATATAAAGATG